AGTCTGCCGGAAATTCACCGCATATTTCCAGACATCGGATGTGTTTGAAGTGATGATTGACTTTATCTATGATTACGGGCAACACGTGAGACACCTCTCGGGTGCCCACTAATGATAGTCTCTTCAGACGCCGGCATTTGAGCCCAATATCTCTGAGTTGTGCCAAAAATGATGGTAAGAGCGACGGATTGATTGTGTAGTAATAGATCTCCAAATCAATTAATGCCGGCATTCGTGACAACCCAGACATCAGGGTATTAACGGAAGACTCGTCACACATCCTATGTATAGTAACTTTGATTGATTTGAAAACTTTCTGATAGTTTCGCACAAATGTCTCAAATCTCTCGGAATCTTCACTCATGTAAATGAACGCAGTTTTCCGTAGGTTTGGTAGTATTGAGACCTGAATACCTGTCCCCTCGTATAGCAGTGATAGGGAGGACTTATTCTCACACAATAAATACTTAATTTCCGTTAATTTGCCACAAAATTTAAGATTATTTTTATAGCACTCTCTGAGCAGTCGATTCTCTGACGAATCAAATCTAATTGTTTTCAAAGTTTTCGCAAACTTTGCGAAAAAGGCGTTTAATGTGTCAGCCGTGATGTCGGTGCCCGACGACAGGTGCAGGTATATGCCGGACAAGTGATGGCAGTGTCTTGCAATCAACTCAAACACATCTCGCGTACCGTTGAACTCAATGTAAGTAATGTTGGGACACTTCTTGAGGGTCGTTTCAAAACGGGTCAAATTTGTGGTCAGTTTGTGTCCGATGGACGCGTTAACCGATAGTCTGGTTTGGGATATGAATATCAATCGATGCCATTGTCTGCCAACGCACTCGTGTCGGCATTTGTCCGCAAATGACTGATAAGACAGTAATAGTTGGCATAAATCGTCACCAAATCTGTCAAACGAGTCCTTCGCGTAGATTTGATTCATATTTAACTTTTTTGGTCTTTAAACTAATTATTCGCTTATTTTGCATACATTTTGAAAACTAAATATTTTCAATATATTGCAAAATGAAATCATTAAAACCGCATGGTATTGTAATGTGTTGCCAGGTGCTATTCATTTTCAGGTGATAGGTCAGAGAGTTTTAATTCATGTGATCTATTGGTGTAAATGTGTATTCAATGGATTTATAAGATAAGGATTAAGTGCATATTTTATGATACATGTATTTATTTTAGGTATATTTAGATCTCTAATATAAATTTTCTATACAAGTACTTTTTAATTTTTTTAATGTAAAAATTATAATGTAATGTGAGAAACATTAAAATGAATTATAAAATGATACAATTATTGATTTAGTTTTTAATTGATTTCCAGTCAATTCACTTTAGTATTGATTATTTCTAATCGCTATAAAACTTTTCAAACTAGCTTAAATAGTGTATTAAATGTAGTTTATGTATAACTAGACTACAGTAGTTATGAATCATAACTTATGATATACGTGTATTAAAAGTTACAGTATAGAAGTATTAATATAATAATTTTTAAAATATTAGTACAAATATTAAATTTATAATTTCTAAGGGTTTATTACTATGACCGAGATAATTTTATTGTATATTTTAAATATAGCATTAACTTCGTTCATTAAATAGCATATAATAACGTTCACAAAACCATAAGTGGGTTGTATTGAGCACCGAAAGCACACACAAAGCGAGGGTTTCCATAGCGACGAGTGGTGTAACACAACTGCAAACAAAAACATGTGATTTGAGTGTTGTTTGTGTTAATCGGCGACCCATTGATTGTCACTACAAATGACACTTCAGTACACGACTGTTGACACAAAACGGTGGTCTCAATAGAAAATGTGTGCCTAAACTAGCCTGGTCACTAGCCTGGTCACTAGCCTGGTCATGTACGAGTTGTGGCAAACACTGAAAACACTGCTGTATTTGCAGTTGCGATCAATCATTAAATGGTTTTTGCGAAAAACCACTAAATTATGTGAATTACAGAGACTTTGTTACGCAAACAATTTGGGCGCTAATCGTACCAAAGGTGTCGGTATGTATGCAGTTCATCGCTGACCACTAATTATCTCATACTTGTGTCCACAGAGTACTCGATAGTGACATCGCGGTCGCCGGTGTTGCAGAAAATCAACGTCGAGTTGAGTCGGTTAGCGGATCAGCAGTTGTTAACTAATAAATGGATTTTGTTTGAAAAGGCCATCGAAGCCACCGCTACCACCAAACAGATCAACACTAAACTACATCCAGAGTACGACCACTTTGCCTGTTTTGTCGTGTCTTTCAATGTCTTACCATTCATTGTCTCAATGGTTATCGTAGGATAGGATAGCGTTGTATCGCTTATAATGGGTTTAAATTGTGTGCTAATTATCTGTGATTATCATTGAATTACCATTTAATGCATTATAGGCTATGAGTGCTGTTATTTGATAATATTTTTATTGAATGTGTTTGTCGTGTCATTCAATCATTAATTGGTTTCAAAGCTCTCAACAATTATTGATTATTTAGTCTTATTTTCATTTAACAAGTAATGGAAATATTAAGAGACTTTTAATATTACCTATTTATATACGGTATTCAGTTTGTATGTCTTATATAGCTTTATATGATATGTTTATTGATTTTTCTGTTGTGTCCACAAGTTTTATTTAAAATTCATTTATTGTTTGAGTTTTTATAATTACAATTTTATATGCTATACTTTTAGCTAATTTGTCGTAAGACATTAATTTATTTCAGTTTAAATTATGCTATTAATACAGTAGTGGCATAAAACTTATTAATAGTTTGTTTAATGTTTACAATATCTAACATTAGCTGATATTACGGTAATAGACAATTGTATTAACATTGTATGCATTAAATCGACAGTTTCATCGCTGCCTATCGGATATGTTTGGTGCAGATCTATGGCTACAAACAACTCATAAAACAGATCCAATGTCTGCGATCCATTACATACGACCCCCAGAGCACAGCCCACCAGCAAATGCTACGCAACCTATGGGGCCAACTGTCGGACGAGCCGTTGAAGGCCTTGCAGAGCAAGCAGTGGTCGGACATCGGCTTCCAGGGCGACGACCCGAGCACTGACTTCCGGGGAATGGGTTTACTATCTCTGGATAACCTGCTATTCTTCGCCACCGTATACCGAGAGCCCGCCCGACATATACTCCAGCACTCACTGCACCCAAAGCACGGGTAGATTATGTGTTTCAATGTCTACTTTATGAACCGTTTTTAGATTTATCTTATTTTTTGAGTTTTAATTTTGTTTTTTAATGAATGACACGTTTTTTCATAAGTTATTGACGATTACTCTCTGATTACATGTCTGTATAGCTTCCCCTTTGCTATCGTTGGCATCAATTTAACACATTTAGCGCTGAGTCTACTAATGGACGGCCACCTGAAGACACATTTCTTCAACTCATTTAATCGTATCTTTAAATTAGAGGACTTTCATAAAGTTTATTGTAAATTGAAACTCAATTTTTATGTCTATTTTGTTGAAACTGTTTTCATTTGTGTGTTTCAACGATAGGCTACCTATTCGTGGCGTTTGATAGGGTATGGCTGGACAGTCGGCCCCAATCGGTGATGGAGTTCAGCCTAATTCGCGACAAATTTGAGAAGCAATTGATCGACAAATTGGCCGATAATAGGACTGTCCTTAAATGGGACCCACATATTGACACGTTGTGAATACCCTGACACTCCATTTCCTACTGTAGTATTGAGTACTCATTTTGATTAGACTATTATTTTCTAATTGATAAGATTGTAATAATTTTTGAATTTAATTTACCGATAATAATGACACTTCTCTATAGTATTGGGGGAACTATTTTGCACTCAATTTGATATTTTGTTTGTAACTAAAGTGAGAACTAATTTCGATTCATATAATGAATATGAATTTATTTATTTTAATTTATGTTTTTAATGTTATTTTATGAAATTGAAATAAAGAATTAATATAAAATGTACTTGTACAGTGTTGGACTAGGACCTAGCCACTATGTAGATGAAATACAATATGCAAAGTTTTGACTATGATTCTGAACCAATGGTTAAACATTCCTATGGGAATAAATGAAAAAAGACCTTGTAGCTCTGCTCTTAACATGATTACAGTCATATTACCAGTTAAGGCAGAGATGAGTGTCCTCTCAAGAGAGACACCATATATAAGGCATTTAAGGTGTTCCTGTATTTTATATATACATCGGAACTGCCATTCGATGCCACCGTAGACGACAATGACATCAATTTGGAACTCCTATCGGATATGTGTCTGTTGGCCGACAAACACCAAACCCCTTCACTACTCATGCGAGTGGCCAAACACTTCCGGCGAATCGTGTCCTTCAAAAACCTGGAGTTCGCGTCGAGAGTTGGCTTCGCGTACGGACTCAAGACACTGATGGCCGCCGTCACGACATTCGTCGACCAGAATTACGACCAATTGATCGACAAAGACGTCGATTACTTGAAGCGCATCGACGACAACACCGATGGCTATCTGTTCAAGAAGTTCATCCCAAAGTGCCGTAGCGTTAATCCTATTGATAATAAGAGTCGCATAGTAGTGCTCTACGCAGGCAATTATGCAAACAAAACCATTTATTACGTGCCCGATCACCAAGATCACCTGGCACGTGTCTATAACAATCAAGTCTAAACTAGCTCACAAGTCAGTCCATTGCCAGCTCATTGAATGTTATTAATATAAGAAGTTTCAATGTTTTCAACAAAATTATTAAAAAAAAGTTTTGTCACTAAATCTGAATTAAGACAACATATAAATTGTGTTCATTTAAGGCATTAGAATATTCATATGAATAATAAACTCAATGTTTAATAAATAAAAATAGTTTCTTAAAACATTTGGAAAGAAATTTATTTTTTCAATGAATAAATACAACAAATAATTATTCACACAATAAATTGAATTAATGAATATAATGGTATAAATTGAGACAACTTTTGAAAATATAATCATATAATTATGAAAAATATAACTCTATATTTGGTGTTTGAATCAAATGTTTAAAATGATACTGTATATATTTTAACGATAATTATGGGGAACTAGTGAATACACATTTAATATAAAAAATTAATTCTTATTTAATTGTAATCTTGAAAATGAAACTTATTTTTAATGAATTGAAAACTAGACTTCTATTGAATTTGCTTAACAAAAAACAAACAACTAATAGTTAGCGTGTTCATTTAGTCGTAAAAATGGTTTTAAATATCAATTTGTATGGGCAATCAAAATGAAATGAATAAATGGATTAATTGTATAAACAATTTGTTGTACTCTTATCACAGATATTGTCATATAATTGAATGAAATGAGCATTAATTCTAGTCATCACTTCCCTATTGACAATATTTTTACGCCTATTTATGGCCCAAAACTTATGTTCACATCGTTTTTGAGTCCAATATATAATTGAAACAATTATTTGTTAATAAAAATGGATTTTTTGGTGTTTTAAATGTTCGTATAATATATCAAAACATTTAATAGTAATATAGTATAATATATAATAAATTCAATAATTAGTTAAAACTCTCTGTTATTAAGTCTCTTAACACATGAGAAAACACTTTCAAAAATGTTTGTCAAAAATCAAAGACTATTTAGTTATAAATCACTTCATATTTAGCACACATTTTTGTAATTGTCGCACACATATGGGCGCCGACACCACACCACTCGTCGCTGTCATTGAATTAGTAGTTTGTTTCTCATCTAAAGGACGCACTGGTAGTCAATGCCGACTCTTCAGTTGAGATACAATCCACTCTAAGCCCTGATATAATCTGTTCAATGAATATACAAATGATTATTAAATTTAAATTAAACAACAAATAAATTCATATAATTATAGCATAGCTCTCAACAGTTTTATGAATAGCTTTTATAAGTAAAATTTAGGCGAAAATTTAGCTAGGTAACGGTAACAAGTTATTAAGTAGGATAGTTATTAAAAGTTATAGCATAGTATTTACGATATAATCAACAGGTATTTCGTAAGCACCGGGATGAACACAGTATGGGAAAGGGATTACACAATTTCAAATAATATTGCGAGTAATTAAATGTTGAATTATTTATATTTTACATTGAGTTATTATTTGATAAAATCCACTAATCAATAAAAAGTTGTTGAAATAAAAACAAATAGCAAATTATTAACAAATTCTCTACTCATATGATAATTACTATCAAAGCTATTATTGATAAGAAAAATATCTGTGTTTCCCAACAGTGTATTACTAAAGAGCTTTTAATAGTCTATGTATTTGCGGCTAATTTCTTATATTAATACCAAATTAGTATTAATGTCATAAGTTTTCTAAACAAACAAAATAACAGTAATGATTGTCTTGGAAAATTTGACACAAAAATATTTAGTTTAAAAACTAAAAATAGATATAAATTATTGATTTGAATGAACACATGTCTTAATTCTAATGCACTTGTCTTATATACAATACAATGTCTTATTTATAGCTATTTTTAAAAACAATAAAAATAAATTTGAGTTTGAATTGTACGCTATATTAAGCAAAATTCACTTCACAATAGCCTAAAATAATTGACTAATTTATTTGCTAAACCTCCCAATACTGTAATATTCATTCAAAATTGTATCGCAAACTAAAACATAACGCAATTACAATTAACTAGATAATCAAATAAGCAATTTACACAACCTCCTAATCACTACACAAATATTAAAATAGATTTTTATAACAAAATTCAAACAAAACATAAAAATAATTAATTTAAAGGTCAGGCAATTGAGAGCTAGGCTTCAGCTAAAAAAGGGCTGTCCTTCAGGCGCGGCCATACATACCCTTCGCCGGTGAGGGCACAACAGGCCTGGATCTGCCACTTATGCTTCTTAATGGCCGTCAGATTCAACTCTTTGGATATCTGTGCGGCAGTCATACAGCCCTTCACGTCCTGTTTGTTGGCGTAGATGAGGACACCGGCCCTCCGGAGGTCGTCGTGCGCTAACATCTTCCACAGTTCCTCTTTGCTGATGGATATCCGCTCCCTATCGGTGCTGTCAATCACCAAAATTATATACTCGGTGTTGGCGTAGTAGG